CTTTTCATTTTCTCAATGGAGATTTAAATTCACAAATGAGGGACTAGAAGAAAACTGATAGAAATGAAACTGAAATCACAAAGCCCATAAAATCCTCTCTTTAGAAAACCAAAAGCAATGCTGCGCAGTAGTCTCTGTCTGGAAAAGATAAAACAGGTTTAGGTTGTAAGCTACACAGTGGCTTCTGGAAAACCATATTGCTTAGAAAAATAGAGAGGTTTCTAAGATTTTAAGTGGTTATGTTTGGCTTTAAAATTTTGTCATAGTTTCCACATTTAGTAACTATTCTTAAATGATCTGATAATTACTTAAAAAGTTAGAAATAATACTCATCAAGGATTTGGATTTAAGTATTTTGTCTTTTGAAGTGTAAAGGAGGAAATGCAAGGTCTGTGGGAAGACATGGCAGGATGCAAGCACAGGTGAGACTACTTCTAATCAGGTACAAAATGCAGCCCTTCTCTCAGGAAATGAGTAGAAGAAGAAGAAATATAGAGCAAGTAAGACGGTTTCGAACATATTTTGGAACTTTAATTTTCTGCATTAATCTACATAAGAAATTGATTTGAAAATCAGCACAGGGGAATGCGGCTGCGTTTGATCTTTAAAAAGGCCAAATTTGGGGCAGATTTACACTCCTGGCAATATATTGCTTTCAAAAGTTGGCAGTAACTCAAATCGAGAACTATAAAGTTGGCCTTGGGGCAAATTTAATTGAAGAAAAGGTCTGATATATTTCAGTGGATTCAGAAAGCACATCAAAAGATATTCTTAAAAGGTATTGAGAGGCTGAATTGCCCAGGTGAACAAGTAGGTACAGTAGAAAGCAAAAAGTAGATACTCTCTTATAAGTGGAAGCAGCACTTTTCCAGTCTCTAAAGCTCTCTCGTCTGAGCCATACTGGTGCTAGGCATTCCTTTTGCACGCCTAGCAGCAACAAAACACAGCACAGCTTCTGTCACTTAGGCATAGCTTAGTTTCTTAGACCCTACGAGACACTTGTTTGTTACAACACAAGAAAATATGGAATTCTTATCATTCTTCCAAGGATGAAAATTGTCTTCATTAATATCAAGTTTGTACCCCAAGCTATGTGTTTTTTTTTAATTTTTTCGGTATGTGTAATAGCTTTGCATGTCATCACTAAATCATAATGTAATCTTGGAGATATTTTAAACTGCAACTAAAATCAGTGCACATAGTTCCAACACTACAAACAAACTATCAACACTACTATAATATAAAAATCCAGGACCAAGTTTACATATGCACGGGCAATACCAATGAATTATGACCACTGCTTGCCTGATAGAAACCATAACATGATTCTGACTATAACATGCATAACTGTTGGACATGTTAATATTTGAAAATAAATGGTGTATTGAACTGGGAAATATACATTGATTTGGAGAGAAAGTGCTAATGTTAATGATAGTGCATGGTTCTCCAGGGTCCTCTACATGAATCTCTTAGGAATATAGAGGAACGTGTTGACCATATTACCTTTTTAGAGGCTTAACTATCAAGAAATAATTACTCTCATTCTGAAACTTTTGAAAATACTAATAGTAGATGTATAACATCTATTTCTCTATTAATCTTTTTTCAAAAAGTAAATTTTATTGCGTTTATTTCGGGTATACAACATGATGTTATGGGATACAAATAAAAAGTAAAAAGTTACTATAGTGAAGCAAATTAACATCCAATCATCTGACATAGTTACCCATTTTTTTGTTTTTGTTGGAAGAAGCGGCTAAAATATATTCATTTAGCATGAATTTCAAATACAGCTCTGTTAATCTTATTAAAATATAAAAACAAATAAGAAAAATTGTTGGTTAAAATAATTTAATGATATGGCCTATTTTCCCCAAATTAAATCATTAAACATAAAGCACTGGAGCTAGATGAATCATTCTTAAAGTGCTTGAATAGCACTCTTATAGTTCTATAATTTAAAATCTTAAACTTTCAATTCCTTGTAGTATTCAACTAAGTCAGCAAATTAACTTGAAGTTGGAAACTAATTGAAACAAAATCTATCCAAAAAAGGTCATGTATTAAAGTTGCAATAAGGTCATTTCCCCAAGAATTCCCATAGTTATTTACTGCCCTGTGTTCGAAAGGACTGTGTCATTACCATGTTAATTACTGGTTCAAACAGACAGCAAGTATCAAGGGGAGAGATGGTTCTGAGAGAAAGTTAGTT